AAGATTGTTAAAAAAATATATAAGATTTTGCATTTAAGATTAAAAAAATGTTTTTGTCCATCAATATGCTCTAAAGTTTTAGCTTCCCTGGTTTAATTTAATAAAATATCTGCCTGTAGAATCAATGTAAAACACACTTTCTTGCTGCTTGAGTGACGATTGTTTCTTCTTTAACCACATTGGGGCGTTTGCTTAGATTATTTTGAAGGTCGGAGTAAATAAAAAAATATTGCTTCATAATGATTTAAAGAAACATTTTTTGTGTAAACTGGGATAAATGTTTCCTGCCAAGTCAACAACCAAGGAGCCTGATTGGCTGAAAGGAGCTGCTCTTTATGGGCATCAGGGATTGTCAAGGTCATTTATTGCACAATAGTGATTGTTTTCAGTTGTTTTATAAGCTTTAAAGTGATGTAAACCTCTGTTCTCTGGTCTATTTAGGGGCATCTGGGGGAGTCGTCATGAAGAACGGCTCTGTGAGCACAGAGGCCCCCAGCCTGCAGGATAAACCCGCCTCCACCTCGTCCGCTCAGCTCGTCCTGCCCACTTATAAACCGTCCTGCTCCTCCACTCCCATCTACTACTGCAGCCCCCGTAAAAACTGCTCCGACTTGGACCCAGACAGTCACAGCTTGACCTCTCAGGACTCAGGAATCCCAACTCTGGAGATCAATCCTCCGGACCCCCTCCTCCACAGCCCCCATCATCATCATCCTCCTTCAGATGACGCCGGCGAGGACTCTCCAGCCACTTTACCTCTGGACGACGGCAGCAGCAGCAGCATGCACAGGTCGTCCACCTTCCCCCGCAGCGGCTACGACTCCGCCCGGCACTTCAGCCCCACCGTCAGACTTGGCGTCGGGGGCGGCGCCCTGAACCGCAGCGACGACATCTCTGTGTGCAGCGTGTCCAGCATGAGCACAGAGCTGTCCGTCTCCAACGAGGACATCCTGGACTTTACCGTCACGTCCAACTCGAGCGCCATCGTAACCCTGGAAACCGATCTCAGCGGCTCGGCTCACTTCTCGGACGTGACGCTTTCTTCGCCGACGGGGGAAACGTGGAGTCCTGGTCGGGGTCATCTGGGGTCGGGCGTCCTGCAGCAGGAAGACGGGAAGCTGAAGAAGCTGGGGCCGTTTGCAAATCTGTTCAACAGGTAAAGCAGTCTCTCACTCTGGATCCACTTCACCGTTTACAACATCAATAAAATCCAAAGAGCCGTTTTCTCCTGAGTCAGGCTGATTAAAAGTTGTTTAGAGCCGCAAATATTGAAGCCTTGTTGACTGAATATGACCTTATAAATAAAAGAAAACCTATACAGGGTTTCCGCGGGTCATTAGAAATCATTAAATAATTATTTTTTAAATTAAGGCCTGATTTGGCATTAAAATTCATTAAATGTGATGATTTTGGCATTTAAAATGCTTTATTTAGAAAAAAAAGGTTTATAAAAACAATTTATTAAACAATATATATATATTTGCAAATATATCACGATATATTTGCGCGGATCTGCTTCCGGTTGATCGTAAAGCTGTATGTTCGGAAAAGAAGCTCGCTGCGGAGAAAAGGCTAGAGAATGGGGAAAATGCTCATTTCAACAAAAGTGGCTGGAAATGGAGGAACTGCAGCCTGCCGACGGGAAAGATGAAGGAATTTGCCGCGTATATCTGAACGTCATGGGTATTTGTTCATGGTATTAAAATTATTTCTAAGAGCATTAAAAAAATCATTAAATTAAATTAATCATTCCTGTTTAAACCCTGCTATATTTGTTACATATTTGCTATAGAAAATCTGGTTGCTATTTCAAACGCAAACATCTTAATTCCAAAAAAGTAAAAAAAAACAATCCAATGGACTTGAACTGTTTCCAAGTTTGAAGACATTTTGCTTCCCATCCAGGAAGCTTTTTCAAAATGTCAGAAATAGCGATGAGTTCTTATGGAAGAAAAACTCTCTCATCGGAATCTGCCTTTTTTTTTAACACCGAATTTTAAACACTGAATTTTTTTAGACATTGAATTCCTTATACTCAATTTTTATCTGGTATAAAAATCAGCTGGTAAAAATTCGGCTGCAAAAGTGTTGACCTTTTGGTGAACTCAAGCCAAAGCAATCTACACTGGATAGAGTCGAGCAGCTTGTAGCCAATGAAATTAGCTCATTTGGTCATGTGACACAACGGCTGCACAGCGCTGTTCCCAGCTGAATGAGGATTTTTTTTTTTTGTTAAAGGTACACTATGCAACTGGTGTTGATTTTCCAGCGAGGCTCCCCCCAGAGGGCGAAAGTAAAAGTGCACTGTCGTAAATATGCACAGCTGTTCTCCTGGTTTCTCCGTCAAGCCAGGCGCGGTTGTTTTGAGCTTAGCAGACAGGCGAACGCAACGAATGACTAATGCTGCGTTCCAGAGATGGGAAGTAACGAAGTACAAATACTTCGATACTGTACCCAAGTAGATTTTTCCGATATTTTTTCTTTTGTTTACT